TACACTTATGCATACACAAGTGTGAGGGTCAGTAAACTAAAACATAAGTGAATGATACAATTATAAGGAATATTTCTCCTTAAAAATGCATGAAAAGATGAAAAACCATAAGCGTAATGGGAGTCTGATTGGAGGGCAGAAACATGAGACTGGGTACATCAAAATAAAAATGGTAACACATCCTTGCCCAAGCCCAGTTTTGTACTCACTGATTCTTTAACTAAGATAAATAACATCAGAATGATGTCAGAGACTTACACAACAAAGAAGCAAAAGCTTTTATTGGGAGATACACTAAAAATAACAATCTGTCTTAAGGGTTTTTGGAGAACGTGAAGGACCTGCATACTGTGTCATGCATCACTAGTATGTCATGGTAGGAACAAAAACAGGGCACACAGTCTCTTTGCATTGTCATCTCTGACCAGCCTGCCCAAACTCAAATACAACTTTGTATTATACAGTGTTTTCATTTCATTTGAATTGCCTAAGTAACTTCTATCTAAGGCTACCCAAAGACCCTTACACTTGGCTTTTTTGCAGTTTTCTGTCTCATATCTTTGAGAATTATAGAGTGCCTTGTGGCCATAACATATGAAAGGTGTCAAGCAATTGAAGAATGCATGGAGTGGTTTTTGTCTCTTCAGGAACCACTTTTCCATTAAAAAAAAGAAAAGAAAGAAAGAAGGGAGGGAAGAGAGTTCAAAAGCCAAAGCAACAAAATAGGTAAAAATGTTGTCAGTGCTGCAAAAGCCCCAGTGGTCACATAGCCTTTCTGACAATCTCAATATGTATCCTACAATAAGAATTTCAGAATATTATGACTTCAATATGTTTCAAAGTCAATCTGGTTTGCATGATAAGGCTCATTTCTCTTCAGCTCTTCTAATGTACATACTGTGCTTTCATGCTGTTTTTTTTTTTTCCTGCCTGTATATCTACATTTAACTCTTTACCTCCAAATAAAGAATGTCATCTCTGACCATGACTATATAAGAACAGCTCTTTTTTAAATCACTAGTTTCATTTATGTTCTGTCAGCAACTTCAAAATGTACTGCGAATAAATCACTTTGGAGCATTTATCTGAGGAATTGCTATTCTCACTCCCCACCCCATACCTTGGTGTTTCTTATCCATTCATACTCCCAGGTACCCTGAGTTCAGAAAGCAGCAGCTGACTGTGTAGCATGTGAGGATACCTATCCATGGGACCAGAGAAAGGGAATGGATACAAGGGACATTAGGATGGAAAAGCCTACAGGTTTTCATGACTGGAGGAATGGGAGAGGCTAGGGAGAAAGGTAAGAGTTCAACTTAAATCAGAGATTTCAAGCTGGGTGATAAAGAGAATCATGATACCACAAGCAGAGACAGAAAAGAAAAAAAAAACTGGTTTTGAGAGCAAGATGATGCATTTCATTTTAGATATAGGATTTTCAAACTGATGACAGGATGTCCAAATAGAAACATCTGGCAGAAAACTGCAGATGCAATAGTGCAGCTAAAAAGAAGGGTTGAGACTGGAGATGGTAATGTGATCATTTTCATTTATGCAATGGTTATGTCATTATAATAGATGAGATATCTGAAGAGGAGGGAAGGGAAGCAAAGCAGAGCATGTGGCTAGATCTCTAAGGTATGAAGAAGAAGAGAAGCTAGTGAAAGAAAGGAGAGGAAAAGTAATCAGAGAAACTGGATAGGAACTGTAGTAGCTCAGAGTTACAGAATTCAAAGGAGGAAGATAATCAAGAAAGTAGAGATTCAGTTGCACGAAGCAGTAGGAAAAAAAGACCAGTGAAAATGAGGATCACAAAAAAATTAGGTGCTTGCTTTGTCAGCACATATACTAAAATTGGAATGATACAGAGAAGATTAGCATGGTCCCTGTGCAAGGAGAACATGCAAATTCATGAAGTGTTCCATATTTATTAGGAGGCTATTGGTATGTTTTAGTAGAGCCAGATTTTAGGGTAATGAGGCAATGGGAAGATAGGTTATGACACCACCAGCAGAAATAGAAAAAAGAAGAATTGGTTTTGAGAGCAAAATGAAACATTTCATTTTAGACATGGAATTTTCAAACTGACGACAGGATATCCAAATAGAAACTGGCCAATAGAAATATAATGTGAACACATATGTAATTTCAAATTTTCTATTAGCCACGTTGTTATTTTTTAAATCACTCTTCCCTTTAAAATCCTTCCACAGCTCTCCATTTATCCAGAATAAATCTGAACTCTTTAGTATACAAAGTCCTTCTAGGATAGTCTCTTATGCCTCCTCTAGCCCAGCCCCAACCTGCATTATGAAACAGCCATATTGGGTTTCTGCAGTGCCTTACATGTGCCATGCTGTCTCACATCTCTGTATTCTTTCTCCTCTACCTATAGTCCACTGTTCCCCTGACCCCTGCCCTAGTATACCTTTCTACTCCTACTAATCCGTCAAGACTCAGCTTGTGTCACCTTCTCTGTGAAGCCTCCTCTAAATGCTAAACTCATTCTTCATTTTAACACCCTGCATATCTTTCTTACAGCACTCATCACTCAGCACTGTGCTTTCTGGAAGCAACCAAGATATCCTTCAATAAGTGAATGGATAAACATACTGTGGCACATCATACAATACACTATTATTCAGTGATTTTTAAAAAGATAAATGAGCTATCAAGCCACAAAAGACATGGGGGAAACTTAACTGTATATTGCTAAGTGAAAGAAGGCAGTCTATAAAAGCTATGTACTATTTGATTCCAACTATATGACATCCTGGAAAAGGTAAAACTATGAGGACAGGAAAAAGATGAGTGGTTTCCAGGCTTAGGGGAGGAATGGAGGGATGGCGGGACATTGGAGATTTGGGGGGTAATGAAACTATTTTGTATGATACCGTAATGGTGAACACATGATATTATACATTTCTCTAAACTCAGAACTTTATAATATAAAGAGTGAATCCTAATGTAAACTACAGACTTTTGTTAATAATAATGTGTCAATATTGGTTCATCAAGTGTAATCTAATTTAAGAGAAGTGAACTATTAACACAAGGCAGTATAAGAAGCCATAACATTTCAGAGGGCTGGATTACTAGAGGACTTGTGTTAATAGTTCATTTCACTGTCCTTAAAAGCAGGAATCATATTTCTTTGTGCTCTTGAATCAACAAAGGTGCCTAGCAGAATTCTACACTATAAGAATCATCTATCTATCTATTCACTGACTTATGACTCTGGAGAAAATAAAAACCCTACCATGTTTGTAAAGTTTGAGCTTTTCCTTTATTTGGAAGATGAAAATATGCTACTTATTACCACCTTTTGACTTGCATAAACTGAATCTCTAATTCCTATTACAGAACTCTTATGTAATGTTAATTATAACACTTATATTCTTAGCTGTTTTATCTATTATATTTCCCTGAAGACTGGCACATATTTTTTAAGCTTGTTGTTGAAATGGATTGAAAGGAAGCATGCTACACATATGACAGGATACACCTAGCAACATTATGGCCTAAATTTTTTTTTCTTAGGTTGGGGCAATCCAAATATTTTGTTTGATTAGCAACATTAGTAGATATTGTGGTTCAGAAGAATATGGCAATCATATATTTATTACTAGTTTGAACTGCTGTCCAATATAAAATAGTACTGCAAGTGAAGAACCAGGGAAAGCCAGATGAGAAGGTTTCTTGACTGGTTTAGTAAAGTATTCTCCATTCAAAGCATAAATAATATTTTGCTTCATGTTGACTATTGAATATACTCCATAGCCTCAAGCTAATATTGAATAGACACTGCTGTTAATCCATTACATATGTTCAATGTAGTTAATCTTTTAAATAGTTTATCACTAAAAAAGCTCATCAGGGCTCATCAATTTAGACTAATTGAAGAAAAGCCTAACATAGTAAACAGTTAGAGTGATAAATCATCTTAAATTGATCTTAATACCTAAAATACACAGGGTAATTACATGATACCTAGTTGACTTCTTCAAAACTTGCTTCAGTGAATAAATTTGAAATTAACATACTTGTTGCTGTGTCCTTCTGAACTATAAAAGACCTATGGAAAGTTTGTTCTAATAAATCATGAGATGTAAATTCACTGAGTGTAGATTTCAGTGTGCATCTTAAAATTATTTCCTTTATTCATTTATTCACAAAAAAATCAAGCAGTCCTCTTTCTAAGACCTGGAGAAGTGAAAATATAAATTTATAAGAGCACAGTGATGCTTACCTAGAGATACTACGGATAAGAAAAATGCAGGGTTCCACCGTGGTTGCACTAAAAGGTAGTTTCTGTGAGTGGTAGACTAGAAAATAATCTAAAATCTTAGAATAAGTCTCCACTCATGTAGATGGCAACAGCCTTCAGTTCCCTGCACCACAGACTTCCTAAAATTCCATGTATTGCAAAAATTCTAAAATCTTATCATGATACTAAATTGGGTATTCACTATCAAGCAATAAATTGTTCAAATGGCTAATCTGATTTTGTCTTTTAAAAATACTGCATTTTCCACTTATTTTGAATACCAAAATGAATGGGGTATGTATCACTCTGGCTCCTGGTACAAAGAGACAGCTCACTCAAACTGTATAATTGAGAAGAATTTAATAGAGGCACTATTTGCAGAAATATGGAAGGGCTAAGGGAAACCAGTTAGGGATACTGTTTTATTCCAGAGCTTGCAACTGTGAGAAGGTGTAACTCCCCTGGATCTGATGTGTACAGGGAGAAGATGGCTACTAAACCTGGAGAGGAAAGGGCACTTGACAGGATCAATAGCCTTTAAAAGAGGAACCATTCAACCTATTGTGATATAGCAGGGAGAGCCCCTAGAGTATATATGTTCTGACCTCCCTCTCTAGGGAGATTCCCACTGGCTGAACACAATCAGAAGCCAGAGGGCAAATGTGTTCTTTGATACAATCCTTATAGGTAAGTCCCCGGGCACAGAGAAGGTTGGGAAAAAAAAAAAAAAATAGAGAGTGAATCTGGAGAGCAAGTGGGAAATATTCAAGGTAATAGTACTCTTGCTACAGGTAACAGAAAATAAAATCAAGCTAATCCAAGCAAACAAGGGAATTCATTGACTTATGTACCTTAAAAGTACAGGAGTAGCTCTATCTTCAAGCCCAGCTCAGCTGATCCAGCATCTCAAAGGATGTTGCTGGGATTCAGTATCTTTCCATCTGTCAGCTCTGTTCTCCTCCATGTAGACTTCACTCAAAGCCTCCATGTGGTGGCAAGATATCTGATAGTAATTTCAGCTTGACATTCCAAAAAAATAACAAATAATAATTTAAATTAAACTAATAAAATTTTAAAAGGTCCTTTCAACACTTTAATCAGAGATCCTGGGCTTGACTACTGTTGTCCTAAATCAAGTCACCTGCCCATTCCTAAGCCAATCGATTTAATCGTAAGTATTAAGCAAGATGATTGGCCTGTCTTTAGATTCAGTGCTACAGGCCAACCACAGCCCAATGACAGAGAGTGGAGGAAGGGTGAGCCCTTGGGTACTATTACCAAAACTAGGAAAAATAGATACTAGGCAACCAAAAAACAACAAGTAACCACTAAAGCCCCAGTACCGTATTTGGAATCTGATTCTCTTCTTAGCTGTCAAGTATCATGATGTTCAGGAATATATGAACCTACCAGTTTAGGCTAAGTAGCATTTAAAAATATGGTGACAACGTCTACCTTCTAATTTCCACATTTTATGCCAATAAACACATGAAACAAATATTTATATATATACATTTATATAGAGATATATAAAACTTGCCATATGCAATAATTTGATTTGTGTTATTAAATATTTCTATTGCCTTTCTTGATTTCATAAGCACTTTCCACAACATAAGCATTCTGTTTAGCCTGCTAATCCCTGAAAAAAGAAAGCCATTTCTATTTTTGTTGTTAGTTATATTTTCTTCCCAAACTCCTTCTATTGGCACAGGAGGGTGAATTAATGAGTCAATTTGATGTTAGTTATAAAATAAATGACACTTTGGGCTATATTACTCTGAAAAGGAAGTGTAACTTCTTTCCCAAAACAAAAGGTTATGAAAACTAAAGATCACATAATCACAGAAATTTAAAGCTGGAAATGTACAAGTTATTTTAGGCATTAAGAACCAATGAAACCCATGGCCAGGCACTGTGGCTCACGCCTGTAATCCCAGTACTTTGGGAGGCCAAGGCAGGCGGATCACAAGGTTAGGAGCTCGAGACCAACCTGGACTGTATGGTGAAACCCCATCTCTACTAAAAATATAAAACGTTAGCCAGGTGTGGTGGCGCAGGCCTGTACTCCCAGCTACTCAGAAGGCTGAGGCTGGAGAATCACTTGAACTCGGGAGGCAGAGGTTGCAGTGAGCCAAGATCATGCCACTGCACTCAAGCCTGGGCAACAGAGTGAGACTCTGTCAAAAAAAAAAAAAAAAAAATCGAAGTGACCCTAAATTAGATAGCATTTTATAATAAAATATTGTATAAATGTAAGTTCATGTCCCAAAGAAATTATAGTATGATGAGGTAACAATGGTAGAGCTGCTGTATTTTAACCAGGTATACTACTACATGAACTTGCAACTCACAGTGAATTTTTCCAAGTGAGTGGCAAGGAACTACTAGAACTGAGCTTAGATGTGTATTTTCCTTAAATCATCCTGATGTTTAGAGAAGAAAAGCTTTAACCAAGTAGACATAGTATTCTGTTCTCTCAGATCACACTGATAGGGTAGATGGAGATTTTTATTGTAGCTGCATATGTGCTGATAAGACAAAGTGAAGTATGCAAGCATTTAATCATCACATCTTTAAAATGATAGAGAAGATCATTTCTTTTTAGCTGTCTGTGATGCTTTTATTTTTTTCTTTTTTTACTTTTCCTTTCAATAACATACCTACATATTACTTTGTAAATTGCTTACCTACACAAAGTGCATTAGCTTCGCACAAATTTGTTGACTGGTTTCATGTTTCTCTACAGAAATAAGTACATTTCTAAACTTATTCAGTAATAAATCTAAAGCTACGTTTAGAAGAGCAATTGGGAAGCAGGATATCACTTTATTTTAGCCTGTTTAACAAGAAACAAACTGAGATGTACCAAAATGAAACAAACTGAGATGTACCAAAATAAATAGTGCACTTAGCACTATTTGAGATTGCTTTCTTTTTGCCCTCTTCCTCTTCCCTAGTTGTTGCTGAGCTGGGAGTCTTAATAAATGCCACCATGCCATCCTGATAGAAGAGTTGTATACTTTGAATTTTAACCAGTCTCATTCTTAGGAGCTGGTGTCCTTGGAGATCATGTCTCCCCACTGTGTTGATAATCTACTGAGACATGGCAGCATTTTCTTCTGATCTTCTCGCATCTTCCCCAGGGGTTTCCTCATCCTGGCTGAGGAAGCGAATAAGTCTCCCCCAAGTCTGTTTAGTTCCACTTTCTCACCTATATTCTATGCCCTTTCTTTCTTGTGGACACAGAGAAACATTCACTGCTTTTTTCCATGCCTCTTGGACTCCACAGAGTCCCAGGGTTGTCCAGCAGGTATTCACTGTTCTAAAGCATCACTTATGCATTTTCTGATTCACTTTTTTCAAGTTGCCACAGCATGGTAAACCTCGGCAAGCCTACTAGAGCTCCAGGGAGAAAGTGTAAGACACAGAGACTAGACTCATCAGAGGAAGACGGGGAGAAGAAATTTACCTCTACTCTCTTCCTTCATTGTACTTGCACTTGAATTTATTCCAAGGCAGAAACCAACAGGAAAAAAATAAATAAATAAATACCTAAGTTCTTTTTCCTTTCTTCCATCTCCATTCCTACTCTGCTTTTTTTTTAGTTTGTTTGTTTGTTTGAGACGGAGTCTTGCTCTGCTGCCAAGCTGGAGTGCAATGGCGTGATCTCGACTCACTGCAACCTCCCTCTCCCAGGTTCAAGCGATTCTCCTGCCTCAGCCTCCCGATTAGCTGGAACTACAGGCGTACGCCACCACATCCAGCTAATTTTTGTATTTTTAGTAGAGACGGGGTTTCACCACGTTGGCCAGGATGGTCTCGATCTCTTGACTTTATGATCTGCCAGCCTTGGCCTCCCAAAGTGCTGGGATTACAAGCGTGAGCCACCGTGCCCGGCCTCAATTTGCATACATATTTAAAATAGCTCTTTAAAAGTCCAAGTCCATTAATTTTGCCTGTTTCTAGAACTGTTTCTATGAATGGATTTTTCAAACCTGGTTATGGGTCACATTTTCATGGGGTTTTTTTTTTTTTTTTTTGCATGTCTAGTAACTTTTGATATCTATATATATATATAGAGGACATGTTGAATTGCAATGTTTATTTTGAAACTTCCTTTTCAACCTTGTTAAGAAGGGTCTAGAAAAGATTTTACTAGAAGACTACTTTTAGCCCTTCTTCTTAGAACTAAAACCAAAAAGCGGTATGGCCTTTTAGCAATCTCTAATGAATTGTCTGAGTGTTCCACAGGGTCTTTCCACCCTAGTTGTTCAGTCCTGTGAAATTCTGATACTTGTTCAGCCTATAGCTTCCCAGTAATTATTCTTTCCCTGGTAATTGTTCTTTGGTCTTGTGGAGTCTCACCCTATATTTGGGCAGATTAGTAATCAAATACTCAAAAGGAACCTATGCAGATTTCTGGAGTTCTTTCCCTGCTTAGCTCTCTCCTCTTTGGTCTCCTGCCCATAAATTTCAGCTGTTTGAGCCTCTCCAAACTCTAATATCTGTCTCATCATCTCAGCAAGGCTGCCATGCTCTGTCTGGGTTTCACCTCTCTGCACCTTGCCCAGTAATTGCCTCTAACCAGAAAACCCAGCACTAATAACAGTTATCTAGTGTATTCTTCTTCTCTCAGACAGTGCAGTCCTTCATGGCCTGTTGTCCAATATCTAAAAGCAGTTGTTTCATATAATTTTGTTGTTTCCTTTCTGTGGCAGGGGATTTGTTATGGCAGAAGGGTTAGTCTTGTACCAGTTCCTCAGTCAGAGCTGCAATCAGGAGTCAAGGCTTTTGACTTTCTTCATGTATACTATTATTGACAGTCTGTAACACAATAGTTACCCTTCTATGGTAAGTGCCCCACTGAGAAAAGCATCACCATTTAATCATGTAGACCAGGAAAAAACATCAATAATTCCTAAGTCATGCTGCCATACCTTATCTCCAGTTGCCATAGGTCTGCAAACTAGATTTATTGTCAAATTCTATTACTACTGCAATGACTATAATCCAGGTATGTGACATAGTAAGATAGGGCTAGAAGTCTGATTGACAATACAGGACAAAAGATAATTTACTGGAACAGAGGAAGAAGATGGGTACAGGAGCTAGAAATTACTTCCAGAAGAAGAGTAAAGGAACTGAGTACTGTTCTTTTCTAATTAAACTGAAAAAAGTTCCTTGGGGAGCTGGTATTTGATCACTTCATGGTCTTTGGGAAAATAAAACATAGTATGTGGAAGAGAGTAAATGGATGCTAAAGTGAGGAAGAACTAAGACAATTTTTATAACTCCCTCCAAGACCTAAGATGTGACATGGTAAGGCTAGCCTTAGAGAAGAAGTGTGTCATATGCCCCAAGTGAACATGGGTCTTGCATGGATCTTAGAGAAACTGAAATGAACATCCATGATAGAGTTTTAGGAAAACTGAAAGTTACATACAACCTAAATGGACAAGCATGCCAAAAATATCACATGTGAGTTCTCAGAACAGATAAGGTATCAATGTTTGAAAAAGACAAAGAGGTTTGTAAAAGACAGACTGCCCAGAGATATCTCAGCAGCAATATCCTGTCAATCCACTCAGTATTACCTATACAAAACATATTTTTAAATAATTTTAATAGACTCTATCATAAGAAAATCTGTCTCCTAGTTCAACTCTCTTGCTCCATGAGAACTGGGAAAAGAGTTTATGTAAACCAAGACTGTTCCACAAAACAAATATCCTAGTAAATGATACAGAAATTTCACTGATACAGTTTGCACAACACTAGCTCCAAGGGTCCTACAGAGACTATTTTGTTATGCAATTCAGAAAATGAGTTATCTTTAATTTAGCCTGAAATAAAAGGCAATGACAATGGCTTAGAAATATCTTAATTGTACAGAGATAGTCAAGGTGACGGTATTTATTATTGTCAAATTATACTATTTCATTGTGAATTTTTTTCTTCCCTATATCTTTAAATTATAAAAGACTACTAGTTATTTTATTGTGTGGAGCTGATGGAA